CATGACCCATCATATTATATATATATATATATATGTATATGTACTGTATATATATATATATATATATATACACACAAATACAGAGAGAGACAATTAATTTATTGTGAAAATAAGCCTTTTTATTAAATAATATATTAATAAAAAATAGCAATACAAATAATAAAATAAAAAGGAAAGTTGTTCCAAAAAACTACTCAATGTGTACAAGATTCAGACATGGTAGACACGTTCATTCTACAAACATCTCCTTACAAACATTGCTTCCTTGCTCTGTGTAAAGCAATTAGACTGATCTGAAATGAAACAACACTGAGAAGATGGGAGTGTGGGGAGAGGTGCACTGTTCTGGTAATCAATCAACTGAGCAACCATCATCGTCGTTGCATATTCTGATGAAAACTGACAAATATTGAAGATACCATTTTACATTTGGGGTTTACAAATATTTGTCCAATAAAATGCTCTGTAAAATAAAAATGTTCCTTCCCCATATATCACTCATTACTATCTAGCAAATCATGAACATTTCTTTGATACATCTTCCAGTTTCAATAGGAAATACATCATACAGGGAAGAAAACTGCACTCGTCAAGCCATTTCATGGTTTCTTTAACTAATAATGTCATGGAGTAAAGAACATCTAAAAAAGATCAGTCTTTCTTCTTGACCGTGACATTATTAAACAATGTATGTGTGTCTGTTCAGGGTGTGAAAATACAAGGCAGAGTCATGGGAAAATGCCTGGATGTGTGAATATCAGTGGGTCAATGGCAAAGGCTGAGTCAAGAGTGCTTACAGATGTGGCTGAAAAGCTCTCTAACTGAAATGTCATTTAGACAGATTTCTGGAATCTATGATTTCAACATGTTTGATGAGTTTGTCCTTAATATTTGTTAATTTGCAAGGGACAATAAAGTAATTTATATAAAAAATGTGCTATTGCAACTTGCAAGTTAAGAAAATAGGCTATGCCACATTAAGTTCAATGAACTTAAATTTTAGCACAGATCACTTGAAAATGTAAGTTAACCTAATTCAACTAAATTTTGCAAGTCCAGATTACTTGAAAATGTGAGTTAACCTAGTTCAACTTAAGGTTACTTAAAATAAGTTGCTAGAAAGGC